TCATTGGCCATCCTTGGATCAAATGCTGATTACTGAGCCAATCACAGTCCTCGTGGAGACCCTGGGCTCTGATTGGCCAGTCACGGTGCCCATCTTGGAGTCATCCCACCTAAGCCGCGTCTGTTGGCACCGGAAATGGTGGTTTGCTGGAAGAAATCAGGATGCAGTTATCAAATAACAGGGTCATAAATGTGGGGCTGCCAAAGGCACCAGATTTCCTGTACTGTATACTCACCCTGATTTTTGGTGATCCACCACTGAGCTACTCGGAACACTCTATTCCCTTTCTTACAAAGGATCTAGTGATCTGTTAGCCGCCAGTGTCTTCTCTCCAGCAGAGGAGAAATTAGGCCTCCTCCTGGGTGTGATGCTGTTAGGACTAATGTCATAGAAGTCATAGATGTCTTCCAGGGAAACTGTATTTAAAACACAAGCAGCGTGACTTTGAAAGGGGCTACACTTCTTCACAGGACAGCATTGTTGGTAATAAAGTATCAGGCAACAAAGAGGGGGAGGACATTGGAGCCCAGTGGGGATTTTTCAGATCACACAACAGAGATGTAGTGACCCTGTATGTATGTATGTATACGGTATATAGTGTTGGATTAGGTTAATGTTATTAAGAAGATTTTTTTTTTTTATTAAGAAGATTTTAAGGTAAGATTTTTTTTTTTTTTGGTACTGGGCATTGAACTCGGGTCCTTGCGCTTGTGCAGCAGGCGGCAAAACCACTGAGCTAAATCCCCGGCCCTGACCCTGTATTTATTTATTTTGAATGGGCCATTAATTTTATGCTGATTATACAGCAAGAAGGAAAGAGAACAGCTGTGTCTTTCATAATCATTGTAGCCTAGGATTCTGCAGATGTGGAAATGAAGATGATTTCTGTGATTTGTAGCATGATCTTATCTCAAAACCAAAAAATTGGAAGCAAGATCACACACACACACACACACACACAAATCTGTGCAGGACCTGAGATCAAGAAGCACTGCAGGGGAATTTAAAGTGGGCACTTGCACGTCTAGAACTTGCTTGGGTCTGTGGAGGAGAGGGCTCAGATGTCTGCATTCTGGTATTGAATGAAACTGGGTGCAACAGACTGCCGAAATGCTCTCTTAAATTGATGTTAACTTGCTTAAGGCTTTATTTTTCTGCCTTAGCTTGGCCACATCATATTCATTCTTTAATTTTAGCTCCATGTTAGCTCTTCTATGAAGAGTTTTCTCTACTCTTGAGTCTGGGTTTAGTATAACACAATTGCAATAATTTGTGACTGCTTTGGTGGAAGGGTCTGAGGCTGGCAGGGCTCAGCTGGGTGGTTTTTGCTCAGGGCTCCATAGGCAGCTGCAGTTAGATGGTGGCTAAGGGTGCAGTCACATTAAAGACTTGATACTGATACTGGCTGTCACACAGGCTCTCTGCTGGGTTGTCTGTTGGAACAGTGACACACAGGCTACCGATAGGGCCTGGGGTTTCTCCCCATGTGGAGGCTGAATTTCAAGGCAGGGGAAGAGAGGGCTCCATTGCTGGGACTTGAAGGTTATTCAGTGTTACCTCTGTTACCTTCTATATATTAGAAATGAGCCCAAGTCTAGCCCATATCCAGGGGGATGTAGGTTGGAAGGAAATTACATTCTACTTCTTGATGAATGTCAGAGTTTTGCAGATACATTTTAAAACCACTGCAGCGCTCCTCTGCGTATTCCTTTACTGGTCTCAGTTTTAATCACAATGTGGTATCATCTGTCTGTCTGCCTTCCTTCATGGGAGATGCTTTTCTTGTGGTACTGGGAATTGAACCTGGTACCGTGTACATGCTAGGCAAGTGCTCTACCATTCGGCTACATCCTCAGCCCTTTTCATTTTATTCTGAGACTGAGTTTTTCTAAGTTGTGGAGGCTGGCCTTGAACTTGCAATCCTCCTACCTCAGCAGCTTGAGTAGCTGGGATTACAGGTGCATGCCACCATGCCTGGCTTCCACAGGAGATTCTTAGACGTACCTGTGACTTCATCACCAATAGAAGCCAGGGGCATTTTCTTATCAGATTGCAGTACAGGTGGATATCTGGAAATATCATTCACCTTATCATTATTGTAGAACCATGGTAGTTATTAAACCCTGCTCTGTGTCTTGTTATTTAATGGATTAATAAAGAAATACATGTGTGCAATATCTAAATTTTATTTTTGTAAATATTTTAATAACTTTTTACAAATAGTCGATTTTGCTTGTAATCCTGTGTGTTTTAAACAACTCTTCTGAGCAGCAGTTTGTGGGCTTCTTGAGAAGGAATACAGTGGTCAGTTGGTGATGCTCACCTTGAGTAAGGACAGAGATCTCCTGGTTTTCCTGCACAGCACACACTTGTCATCTCGGCTCTGGCTGTGGTCAGGGAGGGCATGGAAAACTGCCCACCACAAAGTGCCTGGCCCACAGGTGTTTAAAAGCACCTGCCCTTTCCCAGGTTTTCTTCTTCCTCCAAGGGTAGCAGACTGACACCTTTGCACTTTATTGCTTTGGGAGAGATGTGTGGCCGAGTACAATGCACAGTACCTGGCAGTTTTCCTGACTTTTGCTTTACTGAATCAAAGCTTTGGTAGGAACTTAGAAGAGACACCATCAGTTCCAATCAATGTCTCCTGAAGCCAGGTAGTAGAATGAAGTGATGGGGCTGTTTGGGAAAATCCTCAGGTCCTCTCTGGCCATCTTTGATTTTCGTACTTTTAATTGTGCTTTTTTTTTTCTTTCTTTTGGTATCAGGGATTGAACTCAGGACCTTATGCTTGCGAGGCAGGCGGTGGCACCACTGAGCTATATCCCCGGCTCTTCATACTTTTGATGGATATTTGTACAGAAAAATATTCTCTAAGCTAAACAATCTTGTGAGGCTGAGTGGTAAAAAATAGAAATTGAGCTGGGCGTGGTGTCACAGGGCTGTAGCCCCAGCACTTGGGAGCCTGAGCCTGAGACAGGAGGATCACCATGAGTTTGAGGTCAGCCTGGGCTACATAGTGAGTTTAGGGCCAGCCTGAACTACAAAGTAAGACCCTGTCTCAAAAAACAACCCCCTCAAAAAAAAAAAAAAAAAAGAAATTGATTCAAATCTCTGGACCAAGGGGGCAGCAGGGAGCAGTGGAGACAGCGTGCTTGGAGAGGAGATTGTCTCAGAGCAGCAGTGTCATTCAGCTCTGGTGGGTGTTGTCCCAGGGGGTTGTGACCTCAGAGCTGCTGAATTAAAAATTTTTCTATTTTGAAAGAGAGAAACTAGCCAGTAGTACCAGCACTTGAGAGGGTGAAGCAGGAGGATCACTGTGAGTTTTAGGCCAGCCTGTGCTACATAGCAAGGCCCTGTCTTGAAAGAGAAGAAAAAAAAAAAAAAAAAAGGGAAAGAGGAAAGAGAGAAACTAGAAACAAAGAAATCACACCTGCCTGGCAAATGCAGCCAGGAATGGGAAATTGGCCAGGAAGCTAAAATCATAGTCATTTCTTTCCCATCCCTTGAAATTCTGATGTCCTGGGTCTGACACCTGGCCCGGGCACCAGGTTTTCTGAAGGCTCCCCAGGACATTCTGATGCAGAACACCCACATGCCTGGGGCTCTGGGATGGGGCTGTAAGCCCTGGGAGGGGCAGGAGACCCAGGAAGGACTGAGGTGCCATATTCCTGGGGCCCTGGGCCCTAGGGGCCTGACATTGCAGGACATAATGGGCCAAGTGCCCGTAATCCCAGCTCCTTAGGAGGCTGAGGCAGGAGAATCCAGAATCCAGAGTTTGAGGCCAGCTGGGGAATTTAGGGAGACTTTGCCTCAACATAAAAAATTGAAAGGTCTGGGGATGTAGCTCAGAAGTGGAGTGCTCGCTTAGCACACACAAGTCAATCCTCAGGAGTGGGTTGGCTGGATTGTGTACCCCGGAAAGATATGTCCATAGGGAGGGAGCCCACAAGCATGAGCCTGTTTGGAAGGAGAACGTTTGGAGGTGCAGCTAAGGGAGGACGGGGAGGCGAGGCCTCCTGGGTTAACATGGGCTAAGAAATGACAAAAGCAGCAGAAGCTGACCGTGTGGAGCACACCTGTGACTCGGCCCTGAGAGGCCAGAGGGGGAGGCTTGAAAGCTGGTCTCTGCCCGGCAACTCAGCAGAGCTGCCCAGGCTGGGCACAGCCCTGGCCTATGCTAAAATCTGCCCAGCAAGGTCGGAGTGGAAGCAGAGACCCTTGGTGGTTTCGCTCCTCAGTGGGTGCTGGAAATGCTGGTACAGTGCACAGGAAGTCAGCTGCGAGGTGTGCCTGGCCAGAACAACACCCTTGGCAGGAAGTTTAGAAAGGAAGGAAATGACATTGCATATCCTATAGGGAGAAAAATATAAAGATATGGATACAAAAGTGGTTGCTCACGGGGAGAAGGAGGGAAGTATGAGGCAGGCGGTGGAACCACTGAGCTAAATCCCCGGCTCAGGAGGGAAGTATGATCAGAGGAAGGTCTATTAAAGAAAAGGATGTGATTACTTCTTCATTAAAGGAAAATAGCTGCTTAAAAACATAGTCCATTATGAGTACATAACATACCGCTGCTGTAATCTTATTGTTAAAATTCTTCCTATTGCTGTTAGTTTTATTTTTTAATAATTCTTTCTTTCTTTCTTTCTTTCTTTCTTTCTTTCTTTCTTTCTTTCTTTCTTTCTTTCTTTCTCTTTCTCTCTCTCTTCTTTTTTATCACAGCTATGCATGCTAAGAGTTTAAAAACAAATCATTCTGTTGGATTTCTTTTTTTTTCTTTTTTTGTTTTGATTTTTTGAGACAAGGTCTTGCTATTTAGCCCAGGCTAGCCTTGAACGTGCGGCGATCCTCCTGCCTCAGCCTCCCAAGTGCTGGGACTATAGGCATGTGCCACCATGCCCGGCAAAGATTTCTTTTCTTTTCTTTCTTTTTTTTTTTTTTGTTAGAGGAGAAGGGGTTTATTTGGCTTATAGTTCGTAGAGGTTTCAGTCCATAGTTGCCTGGTTCCAAGGCAGGCATTGTAAACAGGCATTGCAGAGGAGAAACAACATGGTGGCCCAAGGGAGCAAGAGCAATAAAGCGGCAACAGTTCATGGCAGCGGAAGACCACGAAAGCAAGACAAGTAAGATCTCTTAACTATGTAAGAGTTTTTCTTTTTCCACTAAGTGATAAGAACATAGATTTTGCTTTTTCACTCTCTAATATGTTTTTATAAATCTGAAACATTTCATTAAAAATACACACTCATAGGATCATAAAAAGATCATTGTAAAAAAAAAAGAATTGAGATGTGTTGCATACGTGTACCAACTCCCCACTAAGAAATGAAACCATTATGTATGGCAAACATACAATAACAAAAATAATGACTGAAAAAGATCATTGTGGAGAGCGAATAATCAAGCCTCCTTTAGACTAGCTCTGTGCTGCCCATTTAGAGATCTTGAACTCTTGTAAAAGTTGAACCCATCCCATCCATCATGGAATCTCCTTAGTGCTTTTTTTTCTTGGAGTGATCAATCTTCTCCCCTTTTCTTCCCACTTCCCACCCCTGGACCCACGTCTCCTAGCTCAGAAGTCCAGATGGACAGGAGGGTCACCACTCAGGTGAGCTCATGTGTCTCTGTTGGGTGTGGTGGTGGAAGCAGCGTGGAGAGCATGTTCCATCTTATAACTTTGTCATGGATGGCAGCCAGAGGCTCCCAGCCCCTTTGATGTCCAGGTAAGAATGTTTTGAAGTCCCCGGTCTCCGAGATCTGAGATCTGCAGATCTGAAGCTCTCTCAGAGTTCTGCTAATTCCTGCGGGGCATTAAAGAATTTAGGGCCAGTTTCTCTTGCTCTCTCTTTGGAGCTCTGGTTTCTGAGAGCAGTTTCTCTTTCTTCTTCCTGCCTTCCTGAACTCTGCCTCCTCTTCATTGTGTTTATTTTTTGTGGTACCAGGGATCGAACTCAGGACCTGGTGCTTTCGAGGCAGGCACAGTGCCACTGAGCTACATCCCAGCCTCCTCTTCATTTCAAACTACAAAAATCCACTTAGACCAGGGATTGAGGACTTGACTGGCCATTTCCTAGGGCAGACAGAGAAGGACTTTGAAAACCAATATGCAAACATACCTTAAAGGACTCCGCAGACTTCACTCAGTACGTCTGCAGGCGACATGCTGAGCTTCCTCGGGCTGCTTCCTTCTTCTTTCCCCGGGCACCACACTTCACAGTCTCCCAAGAGTCCTGTGCCCACTCTCAGGTTTTGGGGGGACCAAGGCTCCATGGGGATGAGCATAAGCGCCATTATCTTCTCTGTTTTATAAATGAGGAGATGGGGACTGCAGCAAGTTCGTGCATGCTGACCGAGGTCCCGGGTAGACAGTGCATGTGTCACTCGGAGTTGCACTGGAGCTCAGGGCTGGCACCAAAACTCATGCTCATAACCACTACGGAATACAGTGACAGTAAGGACCCTAACCGGGCAGTCTCTCCACCCCACACCTCTCCCCTGAGCTCTGGTTTTGTTTTTTGTTTTTTTTTTGTATCAGGGATCGAACTCAGGTCCTTGTGCTTTTGCAGCAGGCGGAGAAACCACTGAGCTAAATCCCCAGTCCTGAGCCCTGGTTTTGTTTCTGCCCATTCCATATTTCTACCTGGATATCTAATGGGCACTGGTGGTGGTTTTAAAAAAATGTTCCCAAATTATTTGGTCCAACTTCCCCCAGTGAGCAGGGCTTAATTTTCCTATTCTTGGATGTGGGCGGAATTAGTGATTTCTGTTAGCTAAGAGAATGTTACAGCAATGGCGGTGTATGATTTCTAAGACTAGTCACTGAAGGCATTTTGACTCCTCCCTTTTCCTTGGGGGCCCTCTCTGGGAGAAAGCAGCTACCTGAGGAAAGGACACTCCCTGAGTCATCTCTACCCGGGGCCTCCTGTCTGCAGCACTTCGGGCACCATTTTGGAACCGGATACTCTAGCCCCAGTGGGGATTCCGGATGAGCAGCCCCGGGGACAGCTTGGCTTCTGTCTCCTGAGAGACCCAAGCTGGAATCCCCAGCTCACCTGCTCCCGACTTCTCAAACTCACAGAAACCAGGAGATAATAAGTATTTGTTGTTTTAAGCTGGAGAGTTTGGGGGGAGATTTATTATACAGCATTAATTAATACAGCATCTCCAGTTCGACTGTCAGAAGCTGCCCTCCCGATTTTCATTCCACAAACATAATCTTCCTCCTCTCTTCCCTATTCAGAACCCAGCAATGTCATTCTTCTTCTTCAAAACTCAAGCCAAGACCTCAAAGTCATCCCCAGAGCCTGCTTTACTTTCACAACACAAATCTAGTATAAGGACAATTTTGAAAGGTATCTAAAATCGAATCCCATCTTCCCGATTCGTCCCATCACCCTTGCCTAGGTTGGTGGCAACAGCCCTGTGCCTGATCCCCTTCCAGCCTCCGAGGAGCCAGTTCCAGGGATTGGAGCCAGCAGGATCCTCTAAAAGTATGAACCACGCAACACCAGCTCATTACAGCCACTCCTCCTTGATCTAACAAAGCTCCTCCGTGGACTTCCCTCAGGTCTTTCTTGAAACAGCATCTCCTGGGAGAGGACTTGTCCGACCTCTAAGCCTTCCCCACAGTGTATCTTTCACTTACATTTCTTTCTCGTCTCTAGAATGACAGTCCCCGAAAGGGGGCACAGTTGTTGTCTTCTCTATATACTGCTGTGTTCCCAGCACCTAGAATTATTCTTGACACACGGTGAGTCCCCTGTATTTATTTGTTTATTTTTTTGTGGTGGGGGAGGTGGAGACAGGGTCTCACTGTGTAGCCTAAATGGGGCTTGAACTTGTGGTGTTCCCTTTGTCTCAGCCTCCTGAGTGCTGGGATCTTAGGTGTGTACCACCATGCCCAGAAATATGTATTTGTTGAATAAATCCATTCTTTTTTTTCTAAGAGTTGCTTTGGTGGACATCAGGACAGCCTGGGAAGACAGCGATGAATCGGAATGCTCAGGGCACCCAGCAGCATCTGAGAGAGGGGAGGTGTTACTAAGAGGGACCCCTGTGAATCCCTACTGCATTTGACCCCTGCTCTTTCAACAAAATTTTTTACTTCTGCTTTAACAGAGGCAAGGAAAATAGTAAAATATATTAAAGTTGGCTTGTATTAAAAAAACCCTCCTTTGTAATTAGGGCAGTAAATTATAGACACAGGATTCCATATAGGCCATAAATTGAATATTTTAGAGAGAGTAGAGTTGGGCCGAGTGTTCCTTTGGGAATGAGAGTTTATTTCCTAAGCTTTTGTTCACTACATCGTGAGTCTTTTCAATAAAAGGACCTCCTTGCCTGACAGCCAGACAAGCCTTGGGTGAAGCAAGAAGGTTTTATTGGGTGTGGTTAAACTCAGAAAATGGTTCTCCGAAGATACTTTGTGATCAAATGTTTGCTAAAGTCCTCTAGCAGTCCTGGTCAATTTCAGAATACCCAAGAAAGTTGATACAGGTGAGGAAACCGGGCACACACACACACACACTCACACTCACACACATGTGTAAGTGTTTTCACTCTGCTTTAAGTCGATAAACCAGGAAATGTCACCGAGCCGAGAAGCTGGATGTAATCATGACTGCTATCAGCAGTTCTTGGGAAGGTGAGCACTCCGCAAGAGCAGGATTGAGACCCCAATCCACCCAAGATTGATCTTAGAATTCATTCGTTTTTCTAAGTTAGGCACATTTGTCCAGCCTTCAGTGTGATGCACAAGGAAACAAAACTTGCTCAGGTCGGAGACGGCTCAGGGTTGTTCGGACTGGCTCGGGAGGGCAGAGGATGGAGCAGTTCCAGGAGTCTGGGCAGTAGGAAGGCACCAAGTGTCTCAGGGGGAGGTTGTGGTGGGCCTGCTGCCCTGGCTGCACCCGACACGGTCTGGGGTGGGATGGGCAGCCTCTGGGGATGACCTACTGGGCCTCAGCTCTGGGTGTGATGCCTTTGAGGGCTCACTGCACCTGTTGACTTGCTGTTAATAAACAGAGCGAGGCAAATGCGAAGGGATCTCACTTTGTGATTAGCTTACAAAACCCCCCTCTGGCTTCTGTCTTGTTGTATCTTCTTACTGTCTTGCATGTTTGCTGTGACAAAGCAGCTGCCACCACAAGCCACCCTAAGGGAGTCCTATGTAGTAATGAATCAGCTGAAGCTTCCAGCCAACAGCCAATGAGGAACAGGGGTCATCGGCCCGCCAGCCAGTGAAGAATAGGGTGCTTCATCCAATGAGGAAGGGAGGCACTCAGCCCAACAGCCAATGAGAAAGAGAGGCCCTTAGCCTGGCAGCCAATGAGGAAGGGAGGCCCTCAGCCCAGCAGCCCCAGGGGACTTAGATCGAGCTCACAATCACCGATTTTCCCTGGAAATGGACTGGGCTCTCGCTGGACCTTAAGATGACGACAGCCCTGACCAACCCCTGATTGCTTTGTGAGCCTGAGGCACCCAGCTCATAGTCCCAGAGGAACTATGAAATAACATATTGAGTGTTTTAGGTTGTTACATTTTGGGATGAGTTGCTGCAGTATAAGACTGTAAAGTACCCCAGAGTGGGTGATTTAGGACCACAGAAATCGTTATATCACAAGAGGCCAGAAGCCACAGTCTGTGTCAGCAGATCCCAGCTCCCCCAGGGTGCTGGGACAAGTGACCCCTGGCCTCACCCAGCTTCCAGAGTCTCAGGGTCCTTGGATTGGCTGGCTGTCTCCTCCCCGAGTCTTGCCGGAAAATCTTCCCGGTGTGCATTTCAGTGTGTGTGTCCAACTTTACCCTATTTATGAGGACATCAGTCACATTGTCACATCAGGGTCCACCCAATGATCTCATATTAACTTGGTGACATCTGTCAAGGCCCTATTTCCAAATGTGCCACATTCATAAGTACTGGGGCTAGACATCAATGCATCTGCTAGGGAGGGATGCAGTTCAACCCAGAACAAGCAGCACCAGGTAACTAATACAGAGACACAATTCCCCAGAAGATATGTGGGCACTGACATTAAAAAAAAGAGGAAAATGAATGTTAGGCAATTAGAAAGAATTCCCAAAGGACGTAGCAAGCCCTCAGCTTAGTCCACTGTGTGCTACTATGGCAGAATACCTGAGGTGGTGATTTATAAAAAATGGATCTATCCACTGACAGTTCTGGAGGCCTGGAAGTCCACTATCAGGGTGTGGTCCTGTGTCAAGGGCCTTCCTGTTGTGTCTCCCGGGACAGAAGGCATCTGTGGCACAAGGGCAAAGGGAGAGCGAGGGAGGAGGGGGGCAGGTGATGAAGTCACTCAATGTAACAGAGTTACTCTGTTCAGGAAGCCTTGCTTCTCAATATTGTCACCGTGACATTTAAACTTTAACATCTGCTCTCGAGGGGGAGACATTCCAGTGTAGCTGTCCCTCCGAGAGAGCAGGTCCGCAGGAGATGCGCTGTAAGTGTAAAGCAAGCATTGCGACTTGAAGACTGAGAACTAAGCCACTCGGTAAGTGTTAAAAATATTAAATTTTGATTGGATATCTGAACAGTATTTTTTGACATATTGAGTTAATGAAGTACATTATCAAGTTCAATTTCATCTGTTTTTATTTCTTTAAATGTGGCAGCAAATCTTACATAATAAATGAGAGTGAATCTTACATATACGTGGCTTCCATTTGGTTTCCATTGGATGGAACCAAGCTAGAAGTAGGGATTCTTCTGCTCAGTCAGATTTATGGAGAATTCTTCCTCTCCCTAGAGTTAAACAAAGCCTGAGGGCTCTAGAAAGCTGGAAATGAGCTTCTGGTCTTGACCGCATTGTGATGAAAACGGAGACACTCTCTGTCTGTCCATGGTATGGTCACTGTCCCATGCTGCTCATGTGCCCCAGTGGGAGCTGCCCGGCCTGGTGCCTTCTGTCCAGTACGGGAACCGACAGGTGTTAGCACTGCATCTCTGCTGGCTGGCGGGCTCCTCGGGGGTCGCTGGGGGACCTCAGTGTCCCCCATCGGGGCAGTCAGATCCTTCACTGTGAGCCTCTCTATTCCCTCTCCCCTGGGTAAAGGGAAACTGAACCCTAGGCTGCTCTCAAAGGATGGGGCTGGAGAGATTGGCTGCTATTTTTGTACTGCAGGCTGAAGAAGTCACATCAATATTTTAATAATTCTTTCACAAATTCATTTGTTCACCAGATATATTTATTGCCATATTTCAAAGCTCTTTTCTCTAAATTATGTCCATTTATTCAGCACTTTAGGGAGTGGCCGATTGGCCGTGCACTCAGGGAATTAATTGGAGAACAAATGATCAAAAAGACCCAAGCCAAGGCCGAGGATTTAGATCAGTGGTTCCGGTGCAAGGACCTGAGTTCGATTCCTGGTACCAAAAAAAAAGAAAAAGAAAAAGAAAATGACCAAGCCCCTTCTCTGCCTCTCCACATGGAGGGGCCAGGAGCTGACAGCCAAACAAGTACTGATCACTTTTCAGATGAATGCTGCAAGGGAAGCTGGGGAGTCCAGGGGTGTGTCCAGGAGCATGCCGCCTTGCGTGAACAAATGTGTGTGTGTGTGTGTGTGTGTGTGTGTGTATGGGGGTAAAAATCAAAGGTTCAAATATGCAGAGACCTGAAAGACAGGAGCTGGGGCCAAGAGGTGAGGGCTGAGAAATGAGTTCCTGAGCTCTCAGACTGACTCACTGTACTCGCTCATTCATTAATTCATTCACCCACTCATTCATTTAACAAACACTTCTGGGTCATCTCCTATGTGGCAGGCCCTGTCCCTGACTCCATGGAGACAGTTACCATGTGAACCCCGAGTTTCAGCACTGGCCCCACTGGTGCTTGGGGCTGGCTTCCTCCCCGAGCGGAAGTTTCCTGTGGGTGGGGGGCATCTGGGAGCATCCTGGGCCTCTACCCGTTAGATGCCAGCGGCAACATTCTTCTTTCCTGGCAATGAAAAGTGTCTCTGGACCTCATCCGTCCATGTCTTGTTGGGGCAGAATCGTCCAGTTGCAGATCACTGATTTAAACAACTCTCTAACATCATGTCAGCTGGGGCTGTGTGCTGGGGAGGGAAAACTGAAGTGGGCTCTGGGGAGAGAGGGGGAAGAAGCCCCATAAGGTGGCGCTGAAACAGGCGTGAACTAGAGCAGCACCAGCCGGCGAGTCCCGGGGAAAGCTTTGCAGCCAGTGCCTTGGCTCTGTGGGGTAGACTGGGGTGGGAAGGAGGGGGCACGGAGACCTTAGTGTCAGGAAGGCCGAGAAGTGGGCGGCTTCTAAGTAGCTTCTTTCGGGGGGTGGGAGTCAGGTGAATGAGATGGGGATCACTAGAAGTTTTGAGTGGGGGCCGAAGTTATCGGAGATTCTGTTTGGGATCAGAGGGAGAGGAGGAGGGGTTTTACAAAGCTGCCTAACTAACCCCACCCTGAGCTCAGTATATACTCAGTCTAAGTACTGCTGGCATGATCCTAGTGACTACGTCGGTGTGGTGTATTTTTATACAGAAGCTCTTCAAGGGCAAAGATAAAGTCTCTATCATCCTCGTGCTCCTAGAAGCTGTCACAGGGCCCAGGATTAAGAGGGGCTGAAGGGTGACAAGCCTGCGCCCTTGAACCCCGGCCCTGGGAGGTGGCCTTGCTGAGCCCCTGGCTGTGGGGAGCCTGGCCGGTGCATCCTGGCTTAGCCTGTGAGCAAGGTCACCCTGGGCCGCCTGCTGCCCAACTTGACCCTCGGGCTTCTCATCTGCACCCCAAGGAGGAGAACGAGCTCACCTTTGTCAGATTGCTGCTGAAAGGATCGGAGGACAGTGACTGACTGGCAGTCTCGGAGCAGGTGCACAGCTATTGTTCCCAGTGGTCTCCACCTGGGGTGAGTGAGAGCTTCCGGCGTGGCTAGGGGAGGAAGCGCTGAGCCACTGGTGAACGCGTGGATTGAGGTACACAAGAGGCTGCCAGCGCCCTGCACCTGTTGCATCCCATACACAATAAACAAGTCCGCCTGCATACGTGCCTTAGTGGAAACAAGCAGACAAGGGTCCACCAGGGTACAGGTGGGTGCGTGTCAGTCACCCCCGAACTGTGGACCACAGGTGCTGGGGACAGGAGCCTTCTCCATACCTTCTTATTCCCTGCTTTGCCCCCTCAAGTACCGTGCCGATTATTTAAGCAAGGCAGGGCCCAGAACCTGCAGGTAACAGCAGCTTCAGGTGGTTCTGATGCGTCATCAGGTTAGACAGTGCTTCTCAAAGTTAACAGGGATCTTGTTAGAATGCAGATCCTAGCTGGGCACGGTGGTGTAGGCCTCTAATCCCAGCACTGGGGGAGGCTGAGGCAGAGCGGTCGCAAGTTGGAGCCCAGCCTGAGCAGCCTGGTGAGATCTTGCCCCCAAATAAAAAATAAATTAAAAAAAAAAAAAAGACTGAGGACGTAGCTCAGTGCAAAGGCTCAGGGTTCAATGCCCACTACTACAAGGAAAAAAAGCCACTTCTGCTCAGTAGCTGGGGCAGGTTAGCTTCCAGGTCCTGCCTGTCACAGGCTCCTGTGTGACCCAGAAGCTACTGGTTGGAGGCCCTCAGCCGCAGCAGCAGCGGTTCCCAGCTGGTTCTCCAAGTGTGGTTCTCAGCGAGGTGGCGGCCCCCCCCCCCCCCCCCCCCAGCTTCAGCGACAAGCCTTCCGTCCTGGGCTCACTCTAACCTCGTGCACCCCGGGGCTGTACCACAGCCCAGACCGGATGCTGCTGCAGGCAGAGTTTGAGAAGCCCTGGTTTCTGTGGGAGGCGCTGGCTTTTCCACCAAAGGCCCCTCTCCCACCTTCCTGGGGGCCGTAGGTGCCCGGAGCCTCTTCTTCCAGAAAGCCTGCCTGGGGGGCGCTCCTGTCACCTGCGTGGCAGCGCGGGGTTCAGCCGTGGTGACAGGAGGTTTCTCTTTCTGTTGAGAGGGCTGAAGGGCCTCCCGTCACGGCTTGATTGGCAGCCCCTAATCAGCAGCAGGAGAACGGTGCGC